ATCTCTTGAGCGCCAGCAGACGATGTTCCGAGTCTGACTCACGGGCAAGCTGGCGCGGTCTACTTCTGTAGGAAGTTGGAAGTCAAGCAGGAAACAAGTCGTAGAGCATTCGTCTCTCTCAAATCTGCATGCATAAAGTTGGTGGGATATTTCAATGAACAACGTCCTCAAGACCTCAAATATCGTCGCCGCGGGCGAGCTGGAGGCCGGAAACCCTTTCCGAGTCTCAGGCCTCATTCGGGAAACGGAACTCTATCGAAAAAAACATCGAAATAATTTTGTCCACCTAGGAATTGATTTTTGACCACTGTGCGGCGTCGACTTGGTTGAACTCGACGTTCAAAACTTCACGAATCCAACCGAATTCGTCCAACGGAAACTTCCCGGTCCCGAATCCCAAAGTGAACCATGATGAGTCAGGATATCGACGAGCCACCCGACGGAGGCCCGCGCCCACCCACTAAAGAAGAGTGCGAAAACTTCAACCGAAGCCACAAGCAGCGAACTACACTTCGCAGCTTCCTCACGAAGGCGTGCAAATCGGCCGATGAGTTCGTGAGGCAGTACGTGCCGAGCGACCCAGCCCGGCGAGAGGCGCTGGTTCACATAGCTAAAATCGAGGGCTTGCACAGTCAGATCGAGGAAATGGATAGAATTCTCATGCCCTTAGCGGCGACGCTACAACCCGAGCGTCTCACCGCGTCCCTCGAGAAACAAATCAATTACCGACACGCAGCCGAGGTCGCCCTACTGGATCTCCGGGAACTAGTGAGAGCTGCAGACGAAGTGAAAGCGGCGAAGGCGCAATCCCAGTCGATTCCGTCCACGAGCCGATGCGCCGATCGGAACCAGGATCAAGGACACCAGCAGATAGCATTCATACAGCAGGCACCAACCCCCGCGGATATTCCCAAATTCTTCGGCGACGTGAAACGCTTCCGTGATTGGTGGCAGCATTTCGAATACCTGGTTGACTCCAAACCGCTGCCGCTCACGGAGAAATTCCGTCTACTAAAACTCTCTCTTCGAGGCCAGGCGGCAGCGGCGGTTTCGGAGCTAGGCTGGGAGGAATCAAGTTACGGCATAGCAAAGACAACGCTCAAGGATCGTTTCGGAAAACAGTCAGATGCCAACGCTCAACATATTTTGTCTATCATCGGGATCTGCAAGCAAAGAGACGGCTTTCGGAACGATAAGTTGAACCATTTTGTATCTCAAATCTCCCAGAATCTCAAAGCCCTGATCGGGGGGGGGGCAACTCGTACTCCGGTTTATCGATCACTCTGTTCACCGTGATCCGCGAGGCATTGCCAGAACATCGCAGAGAACAGTTCGCGCTTTGGACTCTGGACCACCCAGCACACGCCGAAAATGAGGTGAGCGACCTGGAACACCTCATGAATTTTTTGAATCGAATCGCCGAGTCTGAGAGAGCGGCTGTTAGCCATTCTAAGTCAGAGTCGAAGCCGGCGCGTTTCCAACCCAAGAAACAATTCCGCCCCCCGGGCAGGGCGAGGCTCAAGTGGATAATTCAAGTTTCTTGGCATCCGCAACGAATACTGCAGACCACTCATGTATATTCTGCGGAGAAGATCACTTTAGCTACAAATGTAGGAAACCGTTCACGATGGACGAGCGGAGATCTCTTATCGAACAACATAACGCATGCTCCAGGTGCTTACAGAGGAACCACCTGGTTGCAAATTGCAGGCGAAGAGCTCCGAAGTGTCCAAACTGCGGTAGACGTCACTACATTGTCATGTGTCCTAAACCCTCTAGGGACTTGGGGCCCTCCCGAGACTCAGCCACGTTGCATGCGGGTGAGGGTTGCCACGGGGGCCCCGACGGTCCTTTCATCTTGCAGACAGCCCACGTACACGCGCGTTCCGATACGACCTCTTCCATCTGTAGGGTACTGATCGACCAGGGTTCCCAGCGTACGTACGTCTCAACCGCTTTAGTCAACAGAATCGGATCCATTCCAATTAGCTCCGTATGGTTGAGATTGTTGACAGTAGGCGGGTCAGTGTCCCAGATTCAACAGTGCAATCTGCACAAAATCGCTTTGAAAAGCAGATTTTCGGACGATTCCGTCGAGGTTATTTGCACGCAGTTGCCCGAGATCACGAAGGGATCCTTGCCGACGGCGAGAAACACATTCGGTCTGTCACCGGTAGCGGACTCCGACGATCCGGCCCTCCCAAGGTCAGTCGACGTACTTCTCGGGGCGGACGTCATGGCTTCCCTGAGGCTTAAGATCTCACACGAGTTCGAAAACATCGTCGCAACTAGTTGCATCTTCGGCTGGGTGTTCAACGGCCTGGATGTTGAGCCCTCACCGGATCACGTGGCAAACTCTCTCTTGTCGATCTATTCGGCACACATCTGCTCGTTTACGGAGCTTCCCGAACATGTTACAGATAAAGAGCCACACCTACCACCCGACTTGAAGGCCTTGTGGGATCTCGAACTTCTCGGTATTAGACCCGACGAAGAGCAGAAGGATACTGATCGACTTCTGGACCAGTTCTTCCGAGATTCGGTTAAGAGATCTCCCAACGGACGGTATACGGTGACTTTACCTTTCAAGCAAAACATTGAGGCTCTCGGTGACAATCAGAAGTTGGCACGGAGCCGCCTCTTCCATTTTTTGCAGTCCAACCGTAACAAGAGAGAGCTCATCGCAGCAGTTGACAAAGAGATCGCGGAGTATCTAGCGAAAGGCCGCGCTGAAGCAGCACCGGTGCGCTTACGTGACCAACCCGCACATTATTTACCAATTCTGGCCGTAGCGAAAAAGTCATGTTCCTCACAACCGCTTCCTCCACGCGTCCGCGTCGTGAAGGATGCGGGGCCCGTAGCAGAGACGAGGCGTCCCTTAACGACGTCCTCCACCAAGGTCCATCCTTACTTCCATGCCTCATCAAGGTATTCATGTTCTTCCGGTCCCAGCGAGTTGCAATCGTCTGCGACGTTGAGAAGGCGTTCCTTCAGTTCCAAATTAACCCTTCACAGCGAACATTCTTGAGGTTCCTGTGGCCGCTAGGTATATCGGAGGATCCAAGCGCTCCTATCAGAGAGTTTTGGGCTACGACACTCGATTTTGGGCTCGTGTGCTCCCCGTGGCTCCACTGTGCAGGGCTGAGTTACCACCTCGAATCCGAGATCCGCGGTCGGCCAGCAGACGCCGATTGGTTGAACAAGGTAAAGGAACATTTTTACGTCGACGACATTTTCTCGGGATCGGCGTCGGTAGACGAGGGCAAATACCGAGTCGAAACGATCAACCAAATTTTCGCGAGCGGGTGTTTTCCGTTACGCAAGTGGGCTACCAGTTCGCAAAAGCTGGGAACTTTCATGGTCGAGAGATTCACAGAAGCGAGCGTTTCCTTCGCGGATTCTAGATACAAGCTCCTCGGTTTGTTATGGAACCAGGCTGACGATGAATTGGGCGTTTTCACCGAGAACGCCTCGATGCAATTGAATACGGGTCTTCCGACGAAGAGATCCCTCTAGAAAGCTTTATCGCAAATATTCGACCCGCTTGGGGTGCTTTCACCGGTTGTCATCAACGCCAAAACCTTACTCCAGAGTCTCTGGGCAGTAAGATTAGACTGGGACGAACCCCTCACGGGTCCGCATCGAGAGACATTTGAGGGCTTCCGCGACTCGGTCGAGGCGACGTCCTCAGTGAGAATCCGAAGATGCATCTCCAGTGACGCTCCGGTCCGCCGCAGAGAGGCACACGTGTTCTCCGACGCCAGCATGTCCGCGTACGGCGCAGTAATCTACTCAAAGGAGATCCGCGAGGATTCCTCAGTCAGGGTTTCCTTCCTCATCGCTAAATCGAGGGTCGCGCCCCTGAAGGGTAATCTAAACATCCACAGGCTAGAGCTATTAGCAGCATTGATCGGTGTTCGACTACACGAGAAAATCATCCGTTCGTCCACGCTCGATTTCGACGGATCGACCTTCCACTGCGACAACGCCGCCGTTCTAGGTTGGTGCCGCAGCGAGGCAGACCGATGGAAGCCTTTCGTGGCAAACAGAGTTTCGGAAATTCGATCGAGGACCAGTCCGAGGGACTGGAAGTACATCCCGTCAGAGCTCAATCCTGCGGACATACTAAGCAGAGGCACACCCTTATCCGACCGGACACGCTTTCGATCTGGCTTTCGGGACCTCCTTTCCTGACAAACCCGTTCCCTACGGATTTCGAACATATCCTCAGCAATCCGAGCCATCCGGAAAACCTTTCGGAAGAAAAGAAAATTGTTGCTCTTGCGAGCACGCAGATTCCACCGCAAATGATCATCGACGCGGTACGATTTTCGTCATGGTCGAAGCTAGTGAGGTCACTGGCTTCTGTAATCCGTTTCGTTAACCGGACCCGGAAATGGGCCATTGAAACGGCACCTCACGTGTCCTCAGAAGAGTTCGCGGAGACACAGTTACGGCTTTTCCGTAATATTCAAGAAGTCCACTTCGAAAGCGAGCTTCAGAATGGTCTCTCGAACGTTTCGAAGACGAGCAGGCTGTTCCAACTAAGACCGTTCATAGACGATAGCGGACTCATCCGGTGTCGGTCCCGTCTCGAGCGCTCCAGCGAGCTTTCATTCGATCAAAAGTACCCGATTATATTGCCCGGTTCAGATCCGGCGGTGTCCCTCTACATCTTGTGGGTTCACTGTGCTCTCTGTAATCATTCAGGAGGGGTCAACCTAATCCTGCATCATCTCCGCACGAGGGTACTAATATTGGGAGCTCGCAGACTAGCCAGGAGTACAATCAAAGGCTGTAAGGTTTGTCTCAAGTTCAACGCCAAACGCGCCGAGGAGGTCACACCTCCGCTGCCAGAATTCCGCATCGGGTCCGACGCAGCTTTCAGGATAGTTGGCGCCGACTTTGCAGGCCCCATTTCCGTTAAGACAGAGGGAAATTCGAAATCGAAAAGTTACATTTGCCTCTTTGTCTGTTCATCGACGAGAGCAATCCACCTGGAACTGGTGCCCGATCTCTCGTGCTACCAGTTTTGACGTGAAACGTCTTTAATCTCGTCTTGGGGGGCGCGTTCAATGTACTTCGTCCTTCATGTAACGATTTAACGCCGCTTTTGGAAGGCTAGAACCTGCTTAGATGAGCACAGAATTTGTTCACGATAGTGTTGACCGATAGACAATTTACGGGTGAATCTCGTATTCGAATATGAATTGGAACTGAGATTGTCCAAGGTGTCTACCATTCGAATTTCCGAGGTACTAAAAAACAGCGCGTTTACTCTATAAATATGCCTCTAGCGTCCTTCAACGTCCATTTTCGACAGTGATTCGACGAGCAAAATAAAGTTCGGTTCATGACCCTTCGTCCACTAGCTGGTCAGTACCTAAGGGTTCGAAAAAGGTTTTATTTCGGAAGAAAAGATATGGGAGACAGCCGGATGGTCATGTATACGCACATCGTTTTTTAAATAACCATCTCCCGTGTGATTGTTCTTCCTTCGAGTTCAATCCCACGAAACTTCGAAGGAAACCTACATGTTTTCAACAACGCAGTACTCGTTGACGGCTATTAATTTATGCTGCGATCACCCGATCATCAACCATCTCAATGTGTAAAATCAACATCTCTTTACACTGGGTAAAGGGGGCGGACAAATTCAAGGGCGCATCAAATCGAAGACACCGATAAAAGTCTGGACCAAAGGGACAGACACCGGAAAACTCTTCAATTTCGTCCTGAGCGACATGAGCGGAGACATCAATGTGATTTCATCAGGGAATGCCGCAGAGGAAATCTATGAAAAGATCACAGTGGGTAGCTGCATCAAAATCACCGCGTTCATGTAAAAGCAGCCAATCACATTTAAAATGACTGACCACGCATGCGAGCTCCAAATGACAAAGGTACAATGACCCATGAGTGAGAAATAACGCACATATATCCATCATACGAATCATGATTGAAAATGCGAACTCATCTTCCAGTTGAGCAAAATCGTTCCGATCGCAGGAGACGATTTACCGGAGATCCAATCCCTAACTACGATCCTGAGCGATCTTGCCACTAAGCCGGCGAATTCGGTGATTGATATCCGAGTCGTGATCTTCGACGTGGGGCCCCCGCAATCGTTCACCTGTCACGATGGAACGAGTCGGCAAAAACAAATTATAACAGTGTTAGATAAGAGCATGAGGATGATCAATGTCGGTGTTTGGTCGGAGTTCGTGGGGAAATTCGATGACAAAGAAGGACAGGCCGTTATCAACCGAAATCTGCAGATTCGCGACTATAAAGGA